TATGATTTTTTTTTGTGGTTGTTGGTTTTGTGGGGTTTGGGTGGTTTTTTTGGGGGGGGTGGGGGGGAGGGGTGCCAGTCTGTTTTGTTTCGCAAGTGAATCATAAATATGGAATTCAAGACTTAACCATGGCTTTTTTCATGCTGGTATGAATTTAGAAGCTGCGATCCTATGCACAGAAATATTTATGACTGGAGATTAAGAGTAGTGTCACTGTGTTTCAATTCAGTGTAATATATTTATGCTTTTAGATAATCAGACTATATATTTCGAAGTTCTGTGGATATTAAAAAGCCAAGTTTCTGGAATTTTTTAAGTCCTAGAGTCACATTGTGATCAGATTATTGAAATCAGGTCCCTGGATTCTAAGCTTTTTGCTAAAGCTGTTTGCATGTTCCTAAATCGTTTATGAACACAGTTGTAGACGAGAAAAGTCTGGAGTTGTCGTCAGATAAAACAGAACTTCATAACTTAGTCATCAAAGGATTATTATGTTAGTGGAAGTTTGAGTTAGTAAATGTGTTTGGAACCAAAGTAACTGGAAAGTTTTCTTTGGAGCCAAGACGGGTACTTGCTTAGCCCAGGCCCTCTCTTGCTCATAGTAGAGCCCTGCATGAAGATTTTGTACACTGGAGTTGTGGTAAGCCATTAGTATTTCAGTGAAAAAGACTTTCATGCTTAACTATGAAAAGTTGTTTTTTATTATTTAGTTGTTGTAGAATTTCATATGCAGCCTTGAAGTCTTTTTGGCAGCTAGGCTGTGGGGGAGGGAAATACTCACTCTTCACGTGTTTCTGGTATTAATAGTTGCTAAAATCATGGAGCAATATAAACACAATTATTTTTAATTGGTTGTTAATGCTGAATTCCAGTGAGAATAATGAGGGATCTGTATTGAAACCAAATGAATTAATGAGTAATGCTATACTGGATGCCAACCAAAAAGTGCATAATTATTATTTGCATGAGTTAGTGAAGTATTCTGTATGCTTTAAAATATCACTGGAATATTGAAAAAAATAAGTCTAGTATTATCTGAAGGAATATTTTCTCTGAAGAATTTAATTTGAGCTGAATTACAGTCAAAATGCAGTATTATTTGAAAGACTAGAAATATAATCATACAGCTGACTTACAAAGGTCACTATGATATTTTTATATCATGTAACTCAGTAGTATACAGTAGCTCTTCAGATAGAGGTGATTTCTTCAGCTGCTTATTTATCAGAGTGAATGAGACTGATAGCAGGAAATGAGCAAAATCATTTTAACTTTAGGCACTAAAGCTTTCCCAATGATTTCTGCAAAATGTTTTAGTTTTCCAAGAATTATTGAGAAAATCTAGAGGATGTACCATGAAAAATTGAGTTTTTCATTGCCAAATAAAATACTCTTTTAAATTATGAGAAGAGTGAAACAGTTTTTTGGAAGTGAAAAAAAAATCAGTATATCTCTATCCATTGGTGTGTAAAGTGTTAGTTTTCATATTTATATAGCCTTGCACCATTTTTCCCCCTCTTTGATTTCTGTTGAAATTCTGGCCTTTCTTGCAAAGTATGGTAAGCGGTACTTGAATGATACAACAACAGATGAGCTGGTTGAGAAGAATTAGATCACCCAAGTTGAATGTAGGAGATTTGCATTTATCTGGTTTGGTTGGAACCACTTCTTCAGGCTTATAATCAGTGGCACCTTTCCCACTTGGGAGCCCCTTATGAAGGTTTAGATTTAGGCCCTTACAAAGAAACATAATTGATAGAATAAGAAGGCATTACATGACTGGGACCCCAGGCAGTTGAATGGTTTACACTGCCCTAATATTGCCGCTGCCTATAATAGTAACCTTATCATGCAGTTGCATCAGTGTTTTGCATGTGTTAGTGTGCATTCCCCATCCTCATTCCCCCTCACTTGCAATATTCCAGAAATATTTTGAAGCCTACAGAAAAACACACTGTTTTTTTAGCAGGAGGGCATTTACAGGGCGGGTGCTTAGAGAGAGCACAGACCATGTTTCACAGGACATATGTACTGGGTCCACCTTTTGGGGCAATTTCTGGTACTCAGAATTGCCATTGGAATTGCCACTTAGCACCAGAATTGGCCAATGCTGGCTAATATAGCCAGCACATGAGAAAAGAAGTGAGTGCTCTTTATTGTGCTATGAAACAAATCTAGCATGGAGACCCTTGTCCAGCCTGTTCAGTTGTGCAGAAGAGCTGTGGCACTTTGGCTTTCTGTGGTATCTCAGTAGTCAGGACTGTTTTGTGATACTACATTGTGCTCTATGAAGTAACTTTCCCTTTACAAACTGTATATCATTGTACATTTTCTATTTTCTCTAGTAATATTTTCCTTTCTGGAGAATTGAGCTGTTGAAATATATGTGCCTTTCAATGTTTATCTATTAAAATCTTAGAGCAAATACAATATGCTTCACTTAATTTTCTAAATTAGAAGGCAAAACAGTGCTTACTTCATTGGTTTATCATCACTACATGTTACTTAGCATGTGCAGGGCTTCACATAATAGAAATCAAAATAGGAGGTGATTCTATTTCAAGAATTTGTAATAATTCCATCTCTTTAACACATGAATGTGTTCAGTATTGGCAAAAGAACACGTTGCTACCAAAACTGAAATAAGATCCTTGAAACAGAAAGGATGTTGCCATGGAAAAATGAAGTAACACACAGTGCAGCTGCGATGCATTAATGAATAGGATATTTTTTTAAAAGATCATTTGTGTTTGGTGTGGCTTGGAGGGTCCCAACCAGATGGTTTCCATGAACAGGATCTGACCCCCAGCTTGAGGACTTCTTACTGGCAGATTACTTCATTTTCTTTCCCTTGGATTGTCAGATCCTTACATTAATGCAAGATTTACTGCTACAGATTTATATTCTTTTACATAAATCAGTCACATTTTACATTAAATTCATGATTTTGGACACACAGTTTAACAGTTATTTAAAAAGTGTAAAAAGATTTATATGATAGCTTTAATATATGCTATTGATGTAGTTTTAATTTTAAGGTATTTCGATTGCATATATTTGAAAGCATTTATCTGATCAATAAAGTGATCTATAACATATATTCTTATTTTTAATCCAACATATATTCATCAGTTTTAGGAGTCCTCTTCCCTTCCTTTACTAGAAATTATCAAGAGCCAGATCTTTAGAGGTCAGATTCTGCTCTCAAGATACATATGTACAAGCCCCACTGGAATTGTACAAGGACAAAATAGAGCCCCATGAAAAGTACAGCAGGTGTGTTTTAGAAACCCATTTTTGAATGTACTAACTGGCATTTGCACATCTAAAATGATAATTTCCTGTGCCAACAAATGGTAATTGCCTGATTTGCACTGAAAAATGTGTGCTTTGTAAACGCATTTGCTGTGATTTCCTTTGAAAAGTTGAAGGTGTCTATACTTTACATTTGTTAAGCTTTTATTTATTTACACTTTAAATTTTATTTAATTTCTGTAGAAATATATTATTAATATATAATATGTTATTATAGCAGGGGTTATTGCAGGGCCCTTGGCATGGCTTTACGAGTGCTCGTGGTGCTCAGGCCAGGTACCAGATGATTGGAAGATAGCCAATGTGTTCCCCATCTTTAAAAAAGGGAGGATGGAGGACCCGGGCAACTACAGGCCCATCAGTCTTACATCAATCCTAGGGAAACTCTTTGAGAAGATCGTCATGGAGCACCTCTGTGATGGGCTGGCTTCAGGGATGATGCTTAAGGGCAACCAGCATGATTTCATTAGGGGCAGGTCATGTCAGACCAACCTGATTGCCTTTTATGATCAGGTCACAAAAGCATTGGTTGCAGG